GCCAGTTTCTGATTGTGTTATAAGAAATAAGTCTATGTTGTTGTTGTTGTTTTTATAAATGTTATGCTGTTTCAGTCGGCCTTCGATAGGTGTCCCTAATTTTTAAGCAATAGTGTGAGAAGAATGCAGATAGTCAACACCACACACAGCCAGTTCCAGGTTACTCTTGTTTGGCTGAATAGTAGACCTTCACTCTCACGATTTACAGTTCTAAAGTACGGAGTGGGATAGTTTTTTTTTAACTGTAACGTAGCGCGAATAACAGAACCTCAGATCCACAGTTTGTCAGGATAACTATTAAGCGGCATTCCTCATCCTCGGTGATGAACATATTTATAAAATGAGATTAAGCAAGTATTCTGTTTTTTCTTATGGCCGGGTGTGATCTAGTGGATACAGTGAATTGGAGGGTCCAAAATGTGAAGTCCCGATATGTCACTCAACACTTTCAGTTGTGAGAGCGTTATAAGTGTGACAAACAATCCAGTTACTCAATTATGAGTAACTATGCAGGCGGCTGGTGCTGCTGACTGGATTACTTCCCTCTGATCAGAAGCTTTAAATTAGGGGTGGGTATGCTTGGAACTGTTTGTTTGTAGTTTAAGCACAAAGCTACACAATGGGCTGTCTGTGCTCTGCCCACCACGGGTATCGAAACCCGGTTTCTAGCATCGTAAGTTCACAAAAATACCGCTGTGCCACTGGGGGACTGCTTGAACCTTCGGTATTTTTTTAGCCTTTTAACCCATGTGTCGAGTATGAAACCATAGAGTTACATGTATACTGTTTACAAATTCCGCGAACAAGATCGTGGGAGCCTATCATGCTAACTTCATTACTTTATACAGAGAAAGCATTGAAATCAAATGTTTATTTTCTACCATCTTGCGCAAAACACATTCCAGTATCAGCCCGTATTTAACTAAAAATATACATTAATGTATATATATATATATATTCAAGGTCGACGAAAATAAAAGAAATTGGATAATTCTCTTCTGAGATTTTTAGAAGTTGTTTATTTGCTTTAGGCAGATGCTGAAGTTGTTCTCTGTCACTATGACGACAATACGCAGCAATAAAGGACTTGCTTGCGAAATAGTGCAAATACGTTCTCTTCTTCTTCTACAGTCTTCTCTCTATTTGTCAGTAAATTGTTAAGAGGTGGTTCGTGAATTAGTGGAAGAGTGTTAGCATTTATTTCATCCTCTACTTTTTTACAAATTCTATGTAATTTATAGCACTTGTCGGAAGTTTTTTGAATTCCATGTATGTTTTATTAGATTTAGCCTCTTTTCGAATTTCGTTTTTTTTTTTCCACAGAGATCCATTGTTTATTTCTTAAAAATATGCAAGAAAAAATTTGTTCCGTCAAAAAAGAAAAAAAAAAACTTCTTTTACTCGTAACTTTTATTCAAAATAATAAAATGTGCAATTTAAATGAAATGATAAAAATTGTGCATTCGGAAGATGAAATGCTTTAAGGCTGCATACAATTATTTTTAGTGGATAGCATGACAAAGGCTAACAAATTATGTTACAAAAATGTTTTTTGACTGAAACTGTGCCATATGGTGGTTAACGAGAACCTAAAGTATTTTGGTTTCATTTATTTTATTATTATATAAGCATTAACTAAAATAAAGTTTTCGAATGAAACTATGCCATATGGTGGTTAACGAGAACCTAAAGTCCTTTGGTTTCATTTATTTTATTATTATATTAGCATTAACTAAAATAAAGTTTTTGGATCAAACTATGCCATATGGTGGTTAACGAGAACCTATAGTGATTTTTTTGTTTCATTGATTTTATTATTATATTAGCATTAGCTAAAAAAAGTTTTTGGATGAAACTATGTCATACGGTAGTTAACATGAACCTAGAGAGTTTTGGTTTCATTTATTTTATTATTATATTAGCATTAACTAAAATAAAGTTTTTGGATGAAACTATGCCGTAAGGTGGTTAACGAGAACCTAAACTATTTTGATTTCATTAATTTTATTATTATATTAGCATTAACTAAAATAAATTTTTTGGATGACACTATGCCATATGGTGGTTAACGAGAACCTAAAGTCTTTTGGTTTCATTGATTTTATTATTATATTAGTATTAGCTAAAATAAAGTTTTTGGATGAAACTATGCCATATGGTAGTTAACGTGAACCTAGAGTGTTTTGGTTTGATTGATTTTATTATTGTATTAATATTGGTAAAAATAAGGTTTTTGAATGAAACTATGCCATATTGTGGTTAATCGGGGCCTCGGGTGTTTTTGTTTCATTGATATTATTTTTATTTTAGTGTTATTCTCTTTAAGATACACCATTATTGACTTTATATCCAAATATCTATGTGCATATAAAGCAAATTTCCAGCTTTTTGTAAATTATATAAAACCAGCTAACTTCAGAAATATAACTTGGAATTTTACTAAGGTTTATTAAGCAAAGAAGCCAAAACAATTAATTAGATTCATGGACATTTATTGAAGATACTTCATACATACTTGTACCTATTTTTTTTAATATTACCACTAAAGTCAGCAGGGTTGAACGACTAACTACTAATAACTTGCCCGGCATGGCCAGGTGGTTAGGGTGCTCGACTCGCAATCTGAGGGTCGCGGGTTCGAATCCCCGTCAAACCAAACATGCTCGCCCTTTCAGCCGTGGGAGCGTTATAATGTGATGGTCAATCCCACTATTCGTTGGTAAAAGAGTTGGCGGTGGGTGGTGATGACTAGCTGCCTTCCCTCTAGTCTTACACTGCTAAATTAGGGACGGCTAGCGCAGATAGCCCTCGTGTAGCTTTGCGCAAAATTCAAAACAAACAAACCAATAACTTAATTTAAGGGAATTCTATGTTGTATTTTGGGATTCAAAGGTGGCGTTGTGTGATATATTTTGCTTGAAAGTATTATCAGGCCATCCAACAGGAAACATATACAGAATTTTCAGTTAGCAATCTGGAGACAATTAATTCCAATGTTTTTCAGAATATTTGGGATAAAAAAGAAGAAACTGGTCACTTTGTTTTCACCCTATTATTAGCTTATATTGTAAATCTTAAGAAGAAATCAGACATGCGCACACATCCACTCTTCTTTTTTTAACATAATTTTAGAAAAACTTTCTTAAGGGCATAAAACACTGCTAGCAGCGAGGATATTCAACTGGTGACCTATGGCAGAGGTCATAGAAACTTTTTGTAGTTTGTCTGTTACTCGTATTTATTAATAGTTATAATTAATATTGTAGAATTTTAGCAGCTATTCTTTTGAGTATCCCTTTTCTCCATTAAAATCACGTTCAGTTTTCTGTCACCTAGTAGCGCATGGCAAAACATGGCCTGGTGGTTAGGTCGAATCCCTTTCACTTTCAGCCGTGTGGCGTTATAATGTGACGGTCAATCCCACTATTCTTTGGTACAAGAGTAGTCTAAGAGATGGTGGTGGATGTCCCTCTTTTCTATTCATGCTAAATTAGAGAAGACTAGCGCAGATAGCCCTCAAGTACCTTTGCAAGTGGCCCGGCATGGCCAGTTGGGTCGCAATCTGAGGGTCGCGGATTCGAGTCCCCGTCTCATCAAACATGCTGCCCTTTCAGCCATGGGGCGTTATAAAATGACAGTTAATTCTACTATTCGTTGATAAAAGAGCAACCCAAGAGTTGGCGGTGGGTGGTGATTACTAGCTGCCTTCCATCTAGTCTTTCACTGTTAAATTAGGTACGGCTAGCGCACACAGCCTTCGTGTAGCTTTGCGCGAAATTCAAAACAAACCATTTCATAACGCCCCCTGCCCCAGTGGCTCAGCAGTAAGTCTGTAGGTTAACAACGCTAAAAGTCAGGATATGATGCTCGTGGTAGACAGAACATAGATAGCTCATTGTGTAGCTTTATGCTTAACAACAATCAAATCAAATATTTTAATAATAGCGACAGTTCTATTAATACCAAGTTTTATTGGCTTGCTGAAAACCTCAGCTAAAACAGTAACAAACTGGTTTAAAGCGGCTTTAGAGAAAACAAAACTTTTTAAAATTAAGGTACTTTCAAACTTATCGGTTAAACAACCAGATTAGAGATCCTGAAGCTCAGATATAGCTTTCCTCAATTTAGAAAAGTTGGCCAGTGCAACCAGGTAGTTCCAACCTCTGTCTGTGAAACTACTCTTATCAGAATTGGTTATAACAGTTATATCGTCCATACATGTGGAAGATGTGAGAGTGCAACTCGTACCTTGGACTTTATATTTCGCAACACTACCCAAAGGTTTAAGAAATACCATGATGATAAATGTGTGGCCCTAAAAACCGAATGAAGAATTTTGGATAGTTTCAAATAAACCAAACTAAACTAGAATTATTTAAGTTCATTTTTGTATTATAATTATTCTGCCAAAGCTTTCATTTAACTACCAGTTTTGGGTGGCTAAACTAAGGGCCAAGTTCGAATGCCAATAGAGGTATATTTATTCCACATTGTTTCATGAATCAGCCACTATGCAATTTAACAATTACTACATCGTGATAATATCAACCCAATTTAATGTTTCGTCAACTCCCTTTTATTAAAAGTTATTTTTTGGTCATTTCGTAATTTACATTAGACCAAAGTCCATATATAATATTCAGATATAATATGGTAACTATAAACAGAAACTAAGCTGTAATTTAAAAGCCCAAATGTTAAGCGTAGGCCTATTTATAGTTCAAGTAGCGGTTGCTTACTTACTCTCTTTTTTTTTTTTTACAAATTCGTTTTCTATGTAAACTTTATATGGAAAAGGTATGTTTTCAGGTTCCATGTAATAATATTTTTTCTTAGAAGTATTTATTAATCGAAAGCATTACTAAATGTTTAGCTTTGTGCTCGAGTAGATAGTAGGTATTTTTTGCTCAAAGTCCACTGATTGTGTGCAGTTTCCCGGATGTTCTTATCTAAAGAGGTGTGTGAATTTTGTACATTTTCTAGGTGTATTTAACGTATATTTCGGCTTGAAGTCAACAGAATAAGTGTAAAAGCAAATATTTAAAGACTTGAGTAAAAGATGGAGAAGCTTTTCATCAGTGATGGACTTGGAAAACTACTCAAAATTAAATATGGAAAAGTTCAGATAGATAACCATATTTTTCGACTTCATTATGAAGTTACCATGCCAATTTTACTAGCCTTCAGCGTGATGATTTCAGGCACACAGTTCTTCGGTAACCCGATACATTGCATTCAAAAAGATGACATTCCAGAAAATACACTTAATACATATTGTTGGGTTGAAAGTACCTTCACCCTTCCAAAAGCATTTAATAAGAAAGTTGGTGTCGAAGTGGCCCACCCCGGTGTGGACAAGTATGAGCCAGGTGACGATGTAAAGGAACATGCATACTACCAGTGGGTATGCTTTGTACTTTTCCTCCAAGCGCTCCTCTTCTACGTACCTCGAATGACTTGGAGAAGTTTCGAAGCAGGAAAAGTCAAAAGTATGTTGTTGGAGTTGACCAAACCTATCATAAAAGAAGAAGACAAACAGACAAATATTGATAAACTTGTAGACTACTTCACTTTCAAGTTAAGAAGACATGACAGTTATGTCTGGAAATACACTTTATGTGAGTTTTTGAACTTTATAAATGTAATTGGACAAATTTATTTGGTTGACCGGTTTTTAGGGTACGAATTCACCTCGTTTGGTCCAGACGTTGTTCGATATGTAGACGACGACCCCGAGAATAGACTGGATCCAATGGTTCGAGTTTTTCCACGAGTGACCAAGTGCACTTTTCACCGTTATGGCTCATCCGGTGACGTCCAGAAGCACGACGCCCTTTGTCTGATTCCTCTGAACATCCTGAACGAAAAAATCTACATCTTCATGTGGTTTTGGTTTGTAATTCTTGCGATATTAAGTGGACTCGGCTTAGCGTACAGAATGCTTGTGTTTTCTTCTTCCCGAGTAAGATATTACTTGATGTTATCCCTTGACCGATTCACTCCTCAAGACAAGCTGGATATTGTGTTGAAAAACATGTCTTACAGTGACTGGTTTCTATTGCAACAATTGGGCTACAACATCGAATCTAGAAACTTCCGAGACCTACTCATTAATATAGCAAATAAGAAGACACCACCTTCCGTGTTCGAGGAGAAGTATAAAAACGCGAATGAAAGTAAAGTTTAAATTTCAATAGAAAAAATAAACGTTTGGATGATACGTTTCAGATCCTAAAATATCTTTTGTTTTTCAATCTTAGCTATAAAAAAAGATAGGTAAAAATTACCATTAGTTTGTTTTAATGACATTCTAAGTTTAGAAATTTTGAATTCTGAAGATGTGATTATTTATATTTGATAATTAATTTCAAATTATAAAATTACAAAATGAAATGTTACAGACTTTTGGACTTCTGCAGTACTGATTTTGTCTTGCTGATGTAAAGGATAGTTTATTGGAACTTAACGTAAGCTGAAGAAGAAAGAAAAATCTCAATCAAAAGACATATTATAGCAATAAGCTACGATCGTGAATACACAGTACTTATTAAGTATTTTATATGTTTTTAATAGAATAGAAATCCGTTTTTACTCATATTAATGATGATTGATAATCAGCTCTGTTGTTTTACATTTTTATTTTTTTTAGAATTGTGCACTTATACATAGTGGTTGGGATAAAATGCACTTTATCATACCTTTATCACAATAATAATAACTTTATCATAATAATAATAGTATACTTTATCATAATATGAAATTGTACAACATAGTTTTTTGTCAAAACTTCTTCACAAGCTGGAATGTAAGTTGAATATATTTAACTTGTATGTAACAATGAATTTTTTTAATAAACCTTTTTGATCTATTTCTGTTGCTAGGGTAATGGAGGATTTCAATGTACGAGAAGGCTTTCAAATTTCACGATTTATACACATCATATATAAAACGCAGATTAGATTTTCGATTTTGTTTCTGTTTACCAGTATTAATACCAAAGAGGCCTTTCGTTCAATATTAGGGCTCTGTCGTTGCAAGTGCAAGAAGTGGCGCAACAAACGACATGTTTAGCATTTATATACATTTAATTCAGGACAAAATCTCGACTATTCGACAGCGTAATGTTGCTAAGAGTCTTAGCATTTATATACATTTAATTCAGGGCAAAATCTCGACTATTCGACAGCGTAATGTTGCTAAGAGTCGACTTATAACTCTAGGGATTTGTTACAACAATTTTCGAAGAAGGATATTTGTATAATGGAATAGTGAAGAAATGCAAAGCCTACCAATTTCAAAGACGATTATCCAACAGATGGTAAGTGCCACCAGCAAGAGAAGATCAACTCTCTCGTCCCAGAATGGAAAACCATCTAAATTGTTGCTACAATTACCAAAATTTGCAGAGAATGATTGCTAACAAGTTGTATGTATCCATTCCAAAGTTCATAAAGATCTTTGTATTGTTCGTAAAGATACTTGCATTGTTCATAAAGATACTGTTCTTACATTGTTTATAAAAATCCTGTGCTTGTATTTTTCAGAAGGATCATGTGCTTATATTGTTCATAAGGATCCTGTTCTTATATTGTTCATAAAGATAATGTTCTTGTTTTGTTCATAAAGATTCTATTATTTTATTTTTCATATAGATTCTATTTTTTATCGTTTCATAAAGATCCTGTTCTTGTTTTATTTATAACAATTCTGTTCTTGTATTTTTCATAAAGATCCTGTTCTTGTATTGTTCATAAAAATCCTGTTCTTGTATTGTTCATAAAAATCCTGT